ACACACACACACACACACACATACACACACACTGCATTCTTGCTTTCGCTTGTGGCTTTTCTTCTCAATAAACCATCCTCTCCTTCCAAAGGACAGAAGTTTCATTCCATGAATGAATGAAAGTAAGATTTCTTTAAGAATCCATGACTACATTTAAGATCCAAGAGTTCTTTGGAAGGAGATACCAAAAGCTTCCTGTGTAAAAATCCATTCTTAGGAAGCTGTTCCTTATCTCCAAGCCAGAATTCCCCACACAGATTGCCTGGGGTTCTCTTTTCTCTCTTCTCCCTGACTCCTCCCCCACCGCACACTTCTAGCCCTTCCTTCTGGCTCCAGCTTTCAGGCAAGATCTGGCCAATGACAAAAAGGTTGCTCTGGGAAGTTGCAGACCTCCACGCAATAGCGGGCAGCCACCCATTCCTTAGGATTCTATGTGCGAAGAAGAGGGCATACTTTGTTTTACACACTGTTTTCACCACGTAAAAAGTTAGCCACGGGGCTTGACTCTGCACTGAGAAGTGAACATCCGATGGTTTCAAGGTCTTACAGAACATCCCTTCATGTTTTCAGAGAACTTTAGAAACACCATTACAAGGAAGAACATATGGCAGGGCCTCATAGAAATGGTGTAATAGACATCAAAGAGCCAATGCAATAAAAAACCAAATACTATTAATAGCTAACTCTTCAATTAACCAATAAGGTTTTGACTGATGTGATAAAACTATTGTTTTGAACTGAATCAATGACCATTTGTCATATGACATAGAAGTAGAGGTACTTTAAATAAGATATGCTGAAAAAGATATTCAGTTCAGCATTATAAATAATAACAAAAAGGAAGGAGAGGAAAAAAATAAAATGGAAATAAAATAAGTCACGCCTACTGTTTAATTTTCTGAGTATCTATAGAGCACCTACTTCAGTGTCAAAGCACCAAGCTTAATGCTGGGGATACAATGTTTAAAAAAAAGACTGACAGGGCTCTGGGCTCATAGAGTTTCCATTCTATTATTATGAGAGACAGACATTAAAATAATTACATTGGGTATTTTCTTCCAGCAGTTACTGCCACTACGCTCTCCTAAATAACAAAAAGAAATAGCAAAATACTATGCAGACATTTTAAATGACGGTAAAGCAGTTTTAATAATGACAGAAAAGGGGCACCTGGGTGGCTCAGTTGGTTGGGCGACTGCCTTCAGCTCGGATCATGATCCTCAAGTCAAGGGATCGAGTCCCTCCTGAGCCTGCTTCTCCCTCTGACCCTCCCCTTTCCCATGCTCTCTCTCCCCCTCTCTCATTCTCTCTCTCTCAAATAAATAAATAAAATCTAAAAAAATAAAAAATAAATAATGACAGAAAATGAGGCAGCTGGTTGGCTCAGTTGGTTAAGTGGCTGCCTTCAGATCAAGTCCTGATCCCATGATCCCAGGCTCCTGGGATGGAGCCCCAAGGCTGGCTCCCTGTTTCTCCATCTCCTTCCGCCCCCTCCCTCTTCCTTTTTCCCCCTCCCCTTTCCCGTGCTCACACCTTCTCTCCCCTCCTCTCTCTCAAATAAATGAAATCTTAAAAAAACTTTTAAAAAATCTGAAACCAAAAAAAAAAAGAAAATGTTATTAAAAGACTAGTATTTAATGAAATCAAGAAACAATTTTATGAAGCATATGATCTCACCAATGTAAAAAAAGGTAACGAAGGAGATTGAGTGATTATAAAATCCATTTGTAAGAATGTATGATTGAGATTAGCTAAGAAAAATGATGAAAGGAACTCCTACACTTGAACAGGGAAACAATTTCCAAGTCTCAATGAATAGTTCAATGTGAAATGGAGCAAGAATCAATGAGTATCAGGGTTACAGGACAAAATAACTCTACACGTTTCTGGACTAATACTTGAGAATACAGCTTTTTTCCATGTTCCAAAGTAGCATTTTAAGCCAGTGAGAAAAGGATAAACTAGGCAATAGATAGTGGATTAACTATTTAGAAAAATAAACAAAGTTAAACCTTTATATCACATCATAAATTCCAAATGCAACGTGACAGGATAAATCTCACTGGTAAAGCTGAAATATTTATATTTTTCTATTTTTATGTATATAAATATATATATATATATTATGTAATAATAATTCAAAGTATCACTAAATACCTAATTACTAAGTTTCACAAAAACATTCCAAACGCACTTCAATGTTAAAATTTAGAAACCATGAAATGAAATTTAGGAAACTACTAAGCAATTCTATGGTGGGCACATATTCTTAGAATAGAAGAAAAACTATTTTTAAAAGACTGAAGATTTTAGGGGCACTGGGTGACTCAGTCATTAAGCATCTGCCTTCGGCTCAGGTCATGATCCTAGGGTCCTGGGATCAAGCCCCGCAGTGGGCTCCCTGCTCGGCAGGAAGCCTGCTTCTTCCTCTCTCACTCCCCCTGCTTGTGTTCCTGCTTTCCTGTCTCTCTGTCAAATAAATAAAATCTTAAAAAAAAAAAAAAGGTTTGACATTTCAAATTTTACACAGAAAAAAGTCATGACATAGATCCTACAGTATGTATAGTTATCACAGAAAAAATATAGTTAAATGACCAGCAACCAACAAGGAAAAATGTTTGCAACACACAGCAACTAAAAGGTTGATAACTCTTCATATATGGTGTGCTCTTACAAACAAGATACAAACATCCCAACAGAAAAATGGGCAAACATGAACATTATTTGACAGAGAAATTTAGAAGATCAAGAAACCTATTTTAGAATATTTGACCACATTGGCTGATACATGCGAGTTTATAAAAACCACAATGACAGAAACGCTGCTTTAAGTATTAGGTGTCACTACCCAGATGAAAAGCCACAATATCCAATATTGAGAAAGAGACAATAAAATGTGGCCAGATGGCTAGCACATGAGCCGGGGCATTCTACTGAGAAGGCAATTTGGTAAAAATGTGTCCAAAGCCTTCAGTCCAGTAATCCCACTTCGAAGGTAATTTTTTTTTTTAATATTTTACACAAAGACAACAACTCAAAGCTAAGTGTCCTTCCTATGACGCTAGAGAAAGCCACAGAGACCTATACCATGTGATACTGTGCACCCATTACAAAAATTTAAGTTCTCAAAGCATTTTAAGTGAAATGAGAAAAGTTCACACATCTAATAAATGAAAAGACGACCTACGCTGGAGCAAGATCAGTTCGAAAAGACATACATACAAATATATGTGGAAATCAGGTTAGCAGTGGTCCTCAGGTGAAATCAGAAGAGATTTCAATTTTTTTCCCTTCTTATCTTCTTTTTCACACATGTCTAAATCAACCATAATGAGCATGTTACTTCAATGATCAGGAAAATGCAACTTAAAAAGTATCTAAAGTAAACACACCAAACTGACCCAGGGTGGTTAAGACCATAAGGCAACTCTTTTCCCCTGTTTTAACTTTTCTATACTGAGCAAAGGAGAAACTCTTAAAAGGTCTAGCGTGAGGACTGCCATACATGGTCCAAGGTTGGCTGATTACAGGGAGGAGAGGTGGAAGGAAGGCAGGGAAGGCAGGCCAAGCAGGCAAAGGCCTTGCAGAGGAGACAGGAGGTGGGAGACGGGTGCACACTCAGTGCCCCCCGCCAGCCACGAAGCCCCAGACCACTCACTCACTCCTCAGAACCGCAGGACCGGGCCAGGAACAAGACCTCAGAGCTCAGTGATCTGTGAGCATCAGCCCATCTCTTCAGGCTACCTTTAGGCAAAAAAGCAGAGGCCCAGAGAGGAAAGCAAAGCTCCACAACTTGGTACATGTGACCTCCTGTGACCCAGAAAGACAATCGCCGACACTGCTCCATAGACACGCACAGAGGCACAGAGGCACAGAGCCACAGAGGCACTCCTCCACAGGGCCCGAGTCAGGGGCCCCGCTGCTAACCAAGTGTGGGCTTGGCCACCAGCTGTGGCCACAGAGCCACCTGCCTGTCCGCGGGGCCACGCCAACCACGGGAGGGGGCTGATTCATGCCCAGGTGGACGCAGAGCCACCTGCTACCTCAGAGCTGGTTCCCCGCGCAGAAGGCCGCCGGCCCACAGAGGACAAGCCTGATGATCCAGCTGGGCTTCCAGCCCCGGCGGGCGGGCTCTCCAAATGAGGGCCTCCACGTCCTACAGAAAGGTGCCAGCCCAGGGAAGACCAACTGCTCCCACACGGCAGCTTCCCTGCAACTCAGCACGACCCTACAAAGCGCACCACTGTCCCCTGTCCCTTTGCTCTGCCTGTTTAAAAACACAGGGGCAATTAAGCCACTTGATGCCAGAGCATCTACGAGGTGACCTGGGAAGGAAACGCATAAACACATCCATACGATCACAGAGAAACCACAAAAACGCCATCTGTTAGGAGGACACTGATCCACGTGTCCTGATAAAGGGAATCACCAACTGAACAGCCATTATCATAGCAGGCACTTGAAACAGCTGCATTCTTTCAAATGTCACAAAATTACACTTCTCAGTTTACACATGCAAACACCTAGGCACAGAGTAAAAAGAAAAGCAGCTCAAAGTCCTGGTGTGAGGCAGTGCTAGGATGGAGATTCAAACTGCAAAGCAAGTGCCCCTTGTGTGAGGACATGGTGGGTGGTCCTGTCACCACCCCATGGGGTTTCTGCGTGGGTGCACATGGAACCCAGCCCCCAAGCTGCCTGAGGATGGGCCGACCTTCCCACCGCTGCCCGCTGCAGCTCTGGGAGACAGAACAGACCTCCTGTACCTAGGGTGCTCCATCCACACCCAGGAAAGGACACCAGTCATGGTCACAGTCAACAGCAATTTTAACAACTGCTGCTGGTCACAGAGCCTCTGCCCCGTGGAGGGCCTATGCAAGATTATCTCCATTACCCACGGCTGGCCTGAGGGCCTCTACAGCTGAGACATCTACTTTTCAGGCAAGGACGCAGAGGCTCAGGGAAGTCTCCCCACTGGGACACAGAATCTGACACACAGTCTCCTTCCCAGCTAACCCCACCATGACCAGGTAAGGAAGCCCCCCACACATCATCCATGTCGACTCCCCACTCCTGCTGGCAGGTGGCCCCACACGGCGGCCACTACCTTGGTTGAGATAGGTCAGAGTCTCCTCGTGCAGCTTCACGGCAGGGGACGTGGCCGCGCACAACACGTACTGCAGGGGCGGCAGGCGGGCATCGTTCTCGGGGGACAGCTGGGGCTCCTCTTGCTTGAAGATGGGCAGAGCGAGCACATCACTGCAACACACAGGAGGGAGCAGTCAGGAGCAGAGCCCCACGGAGCCCAGGCACAAACACAGAGAGTCAAGTCAGAGAAGTGGGTCCTAACCCGGGGCATCGAGGGCAACACACCAAAACCCATGGCAGTGTGCTTGTGGGGAAGGGGAGGAGGGGGGGCGGGGGGCCGTCCCAGACCTCATCCAACACCAGTGCCCCCAGAACCAGGACGCTCCTTTCAAACCGCATCTACCCATCCCATGAGGATTCTGTTTTTCACTCAAGGGCCCTCCAGAGATTTACTGAATCAGTTCACGGAGGCAAAAATGAAAAGTTATCTGGTATCTACAAATTACAGAAATCTCTGTGACGAGGGGCCTGGCAGCAATGGAGTGAACCTGAAATGCCACGTGGTTTCCATCCACAAGAGACTGCTCATTCTGTAGTCCTGCTCTCAGCCTAAGAATCTGAACAGAAGTTTTCATTTTTTTTTTTTAAGTAAACTCTTCTACTCCTCGGCGGCTTCTCAGACCAATTCAATCCTGTCCTCAGGGCTCTGTAAACTATGCAAATGAATTTCACTCACTGGGCTGTGACAGCCCACCACCTATAATCTTCAAAAAAAAAGGGGGAGGGTAGAGTTAGCCCATGATCCTGATTTTAATGATCATACTACTTTCTCCTAAATGCAAAATGAGGTGTAAAGACCTTGGATTTGTTTTCTTATTCACATGCAAAGTATCAAGATGCTCAGAGATAATTTTCCTCCACCTCTGAATACTCCCCGCCATAGCCAAAAAAAAAAAAAAAAAAAAAAAAAAAAAAATCAGCCTCACACCAGCCTAGGAGTTGTCTCTCGATGTACTTTTCAAAACCCCTTGCAAGGGAAGAAGAAATTCCTGGGGCGCCTGGGTGGCTCAGTGGGTTAAGCCTCTGCCTTCGGCTCAGGTCATGATCTCAGGGTCCTGGGATCGCCCGCATCTGGCTCTCTGCTCAGCAGGGAGCCTGCTTCCTCCTCCCGCTCTGCCTACCTCTCTACCTACTTGTGATCTGTCAAGTAAATAAATTAAAAAAAACTTTAAAAATAAAAAAAAAAATTTTTAAGGAAATTCCTGAGAACAGGAATGACCTGTGAGCAGGAAAGGCTTTTGTTTAAGACCTCAATATTACAAGCAGTGTAGAAACAGATGCCCCGAAAGTCCTGGTCCCCTTACCTTGATAACCCTCCTCCCTCTCAGCGTCCCCAGTTATGAATCAGATTCACCGACCCCGCTGCACTATATAAACAGGAGTCACTGGTACAGTCTGTTCCTCTTCCAACACAATAAACCAGTAGTCTCTAAAACACAAACCCGGCACACACCCCAGCAATCCCAAACAATTCTCAGAAGTGCAACTCTGGCTTGGAGCACACCTAGAAACTCTCCTGTGCGGGGGGCCTGCCCCTGCCACCATCCCCGGCCCGAAGACAGGAGCAGTGCCATCTCAGCTCCCCTCACACTGCGCCTTCCTTTTGCCACACTGGTGCCCACTCCCAGCCCAAGTGGTTATCTAGGAACAGGAGCAGGCAGGCCTACTCACCTGGGGGTTGCATAATTTCATGTTTGCCCAGACCGTGTTACGTTAATATGCCATGGGCTGCTGCCTTTAAATTAAAGAAGAAAGAAAGGAAAAAAGAAAGAAAAAAGAAAAGAGAGAGAAAGAAAAGTAGGGGTGGTAACAACCATCACTTAACAGTAATTTCTTTCAAGCCTGGCATCCTTATTTGCTAAAGAGTAAAAGTCACAAGAACATCAAACAGAGAAAGGTAAGAAAGGATTATAAAGGCCACTATGTGTGTAAGGGAAGACAACTTGCAGAGGTTTCAGGGTAAGGAGATCACCGAAAATAAAATATATAAACCAAGGAATCTCACTCACTCTAGAGTTGGGGGAACCAGTGGCATATTCACTGACCCTCACTTTGGCCTTCACTAAGGTCAGCCTCTAAAAGGATGAAAACCCCAGTTTCCAAGACATGGAATAATTTTTTTTTTTTTTTTTTAAATAGCATGGACCAAATGTTTCCTTATCCATGGTCCCTAAATGACCCCAAAAACTAGTATGGCTTTCTGGCACCTTTCACCCCAATTGCCACCCACCTCCCAAACCCTGAAACAATACCAAAATCCTAAAAAGGTATCTAAGGAATCCACAGACCAATTTCCATTTCAGAAGCAGAAGCACCTCCCATACAAGGGGAGAACCATTCCCTAACGGGATGACATTTTAAGTATCCAGGAAATTTTAAATACACTCACATTCCACTCAAGGTCACCTTCAAAATCATTTCTTAAGATATGGCAACATATTTAATGGCCACAAACTAAAATTTAGGCAAAACCACAACCATAAACCATCACACAGTACAATAAAAACGGACCCCACTGTAGCATTTCATGCAGGTGAACGGACACAATTTTCTGCAGAGACTAACTTCTGCCCCTTGAAGTTCTGACATCCCCCAGGGTAGCTTCCCTCTGGTTGACATTTCCATGGTCTGCAGGGAAGGCCATCATTCCTTAATTAAGACTGAGACTTATGCCACCTCCTATTACTCAGGCCCATGAATAAAAAGGAGAGGACACATCAATTAAACCCAATCATTTCTCTGCTTCTGGAAGGAAGATGTCTTCAGAGCGGACTAGGGGACACATTACTTATCAGAAGCCAGGATTTCCAAATAACATGTACTGCTAAATCTGAGTGGGAACTTCTTAGGAAGGAAAAAAGGGGTGGGGGCACTGAGAACGGCTCTCACTTCGGGGCTTTCGGCACCAGTGATTCCTTCCACCTCACGATTTACTTTCTGAGTCCATACCAAATGCCCTTTGGGTTAAATTAGGCATATTTCGTAAACTGTGACTAGGATGGAAATAAAGACAGGCTAAAGCTGGTTCAGGCGAGTTCAGTAAATGAAATGACTGCCCATTAGTGCCCAGCCAGCTGCAGAACAGGGAAAAACAATCCTCCAGGAACTGAAGCTAACGGGGCTCCGACTTCCTTAAAGGGGAGACGACAGAACTTTGAAAAACAAGCAGGACTTACTTTTCCCTTTGAAGAGCACTAGTCAAGTCCCTGCAGAAGAAGAAAGATTTCCATCAAGGGCAATAAAGGTGCGGGCCCCAGGCCAATACACGTATCCAAGACCACCTGGAGGGAGGGGGCACGCTGTCCCTCCGAGCCCCGGTCCCTCCGAGCCCCGGTCCCTCCGAGCCCCCGCCCGCCGGCCCGCGCAGCTGAAGCGCAAGGTCGGCCCTCGCCACTCACTCGCCCCCCTCGGCCCGCCCAAGGACACCGGAGAGGGCGTGCGGCTCGGAGAGGGTCCGGGGCTGAGAGGGGCAAAGAGCAGGAGCTAGACCTCCCCGCGACGGGCACCGAACTGATGGCAAAAGTTTCCTCTCCTCCGATGCGAGCCGGGAGAGAAGAGACGGGGGGAGGCGGACCGGCCGAAGCTGCGGACAGCAGGTGCGTGCTCCGCGCCCGACCAGGAGAGGACGGGTGCCCCCGGGGTCCCTCCCTAGGCGGGTCCCTGGGGGATGTCCCTTCTAGTCCCCCAAAGGCTGATAGACAGGGTGGGGGGGCGCGGGGAGCAGCGAGGGCGCTCGGGACCCGGGACCCTGCGGCTCCCGCCCCGCCCCGGGACGTCCGACCGCGCTCCGTCCAGCCCCGGCGGCGCGGCCCTTACCGCAGGTAGCTGCCGGAGTTGTGCTGGTTGTAGTGCTCGGGCTGTGTGTGCCAGAACAGCATGGCTGCAGCTCCGCGTCCGCCGCGCCCCACGCGTGGCAGCGAAGCAGCCGCGGGCCCTGCCGACCTCTCCCAGTCGGCTCGAAGCCGCGCTAGGAAGCCGCACCGGCCCGGCGCATTTATGGACGGCCTGGGGGCGGGGCCACGGCTGGCCCCACCCCCTCGGGCCTCGCGGCGGGGCGGGGGCCTCCTAAGGCCGCGCACCTGGCCGACCCGCTCCCGCGCGCCCTTCTCGGGAGCGAGCGCGCCTCTCCGCTGCGGGACTGGAGAGGGCGGCGCGGACTAGGACTGGGGCCCCGCCTCTTCTCTCGCCCCCAAGGGTGGGGCCCAGGTGACCCTCACCGCTGCCGGGATGACCTCCAGCGTTTCCGCCACGAGGCGCCCTGACTCTTCGCCCGGTTGGGTCCCCACCGCGGCTGGGGAGAGGCTGCCCTGCGCTTGAACGTTAGGGACCCGGGATCAGGCACTCTCCGCCCCCTTCCCATGCTCTCGTTTTCTCATTTCACTTTGCATTCTCTGAAATGGCGGTATTTTTTTGTTCATTGATTGCCTTTTCCACAAGAATGTAAGCTGCAAGAGGGCAAGGCTTGGACTCCAATTCATGGGAATTTCCCACTGCCTAGGAATATGCCTGGGACATAGTAAGTGCTCCATAAATATTTGTTGAATAAATATGAAAAAAGGAATGCATCCATTGAATAATCAGAGAAGGCTTCCTGAAGGAGGTGACATGGAGCCAAGGCCTTACAGACTTGGAGGAAGCATCTCTCTGAATATCTGGAGGGAAAGTGGGTCCAGTCCCTAGTAATTGCCAAGGCAGACCAGCTTTAGTATGGCTGGGGCTGGTTGACCAAAGGGATAAGGAAGCAAAGTGAGAGGTGGACAGGGCACATCACAGAAGGAATGGAGCTAGGATGTCTAAGTGTGTTTTCAGAAGAGAAGTTGAATATGTGATTTGCCTTTTGGAACGAGCAGTCTGGACAAGTGTGGACAGTGGATCATGGAAGGGGGGGGTATCAGTAAGGAGGGAGTGGAAGTCATAGAGCCATGACTTACCCCCAGGTGATATTCCCCACTACATGGCACAGCACCTGGCACAGAAGAGCTGGACATTCTGTCTCTGAGTGTTGATGGAATGGAATGAAGTCCCATGAAGCCCCAGGCCTGGAACTCCAGCTCCTCCAAGCATGGATGTGGGTAGAACCCTCCCTCACTCTGCTCTCGCAGCAACTCTTCCTCCCGCATAGGTCACAGCTGGCAAGGCATTTCCTCGTAGCTCTCTCAGGGACTACTACCTCCCTGCCACTCTCCTACCCCATGAGGAAAACAGAAATGGGTCATCTCAATCCTCCTGCAAGGAAGGACTGACTGTGCGAGCACGAGGAGTGCCGTAAGCGGAGCCCTCAGCCATCAGCCCCTTTAGGGACGGCCTTTGCTGCAGAGAGCCTGCTCACCCAAGGTCACACCCAGGGAGGGGTGTCCACATCCCACTGCCTGTTGAGACAGGAAAATGAAAGTCTGGCCATCTCTGCTGATTGGCTCTTTTAGCCTCAGGACTCCCCCAGGGGCCAGTCAAATGTGTCATGGGGACCTCCCATGGGACCTCCCTCAGTCCACTCCCACTTCCTTCCCATCCTTTGCACAGGTGTTAATCTCAAGGAAACTTCCTAATAAACATCCTGAACGCTAAGCTCTGTCTCAGGGTCCATGACAAGCACACAGCATCTAAGTGGGAGGATCTGTGGGGTAGTGTGCAAAGAGCACACCCTTAATGGATCCCTTCACCAGATTAAGTAGCCTCAGAGCACCTGCCATGTGCCAAGCATGGCGTGGGGTGCGGGCTGGAGCTCTAGCTGAAGAGGCCAGTAGGAAAGCAACAGCAGAGGCTGCTCTAGGAGTAAGAAGGAGGGTTGTGGAGCTCTGGAAAGCCCCCAGGGAAAGTGATGCCTCCTGTTGGATGGGTAAGTGGAAGTTAGGCCAGTCTGTGAAGCAAGGTTCAGAGCAGGGTCTCCAGCACACAGCATGTGCAAAAGCCCAGAGGAAAGGCTCCGGTAGTGGGAAACAGGTGACAGTGGCTCAGACCCAGGTTTTCCACCTGACTCTGTCAGGATCTGTGACCCTGGGTGGCATAAACTGACTGCTGTGCTGCTTCTCTCATCAGGAGGGCCCTGCGACTCTCTTGACCGTAGAATGTGGCGGAAATGATATTGGCCTTATTCCAGGCTGGCCCCTAGGAGGCCAGGTAGCTTGCCGCCTCTGTTTTCCTGGAGTTCTAGACCACCCTGTAGAGCGTGGATCAAAGCCCAGCCAGCCCCCAACCATCCCGGCCCCCACCAGATGTCCTCTCCGATTTGACAGTGGATCTGCTCCAGCGGGCACCAAGCAGAGCATGAGCCCTGCCACCAGGCCCTGCCCCAAATGCAGACTTGAGAACCTGTGCTCTTGGCCACCGTCAATTCCTAGGCGAAGGCCCTGCATTCCTCTCGGAACAAAGTTGGGCAAACGTGCTGGGATCCAGATGTGTGTCTGCTCCCGAGTAGTAGCCCAGGGCCCCACAGAGTCCTCACAGGACAACGCCCTCTTGGCCACTCCACAAGGGATTCCAGCTGCTCTTAGAGGAGGTCGCCCTGAAGAATCTGGGGCCTGATTCCCAGGGCGGGATGGTTTCCACGAATGAAGGGGAGTTTAAGGATGCCCAAAGTAGGCGGGGAGGTATCCTAGCCAGAGGGCAAAGTCTGTAGAATTATGTTTATCCCGGTATTGTTTATAATAGTAAAAACTGGAGACAAGCAAAATGTCCCATCAGCAGGAGGCTAGATTCATCATCTGCAGCCTGTTCACATGATGGGATTCTCTACAAGCTTGAAAATGAATTAGAGCTCCATGGATGACACTCACAAGCGTAAGGTAAGGCAGAGAGAAACCAGATGTAGATTACATATTGTATAATACGCTTTTTCAGGTTTAGCAACATGCAGAATAACACTAGCTGTTGTACATGAGTCTTCACCTCTGTGCCTAGGAAGTAATAAACACAACCAGCTCGCAGAGCACAGCTCACTTCCGGGGAGGAGGGCTCGTGTAGGGGCTCACACAGGGGCCTTCAGCTGTAGGCGATTACCATGAGTGGCCATTAGAACATTCTTTATATATTCTGGCGATCTGAAATATTTCATTAATAGATTTGTTTTTTAAAAGATTCTATTTATTTACTTGAGAGGGAGAGAGCATGAGCAGGGGGAGGGGCAGAGCGAGAAGCCAACTTCCTGCTGAGTGGGCGCCCAATGCAGGGCTCCATCCCAGGACCCCAGATTCATGACCTGAGCTGAAGGTAGACACTTAACTGACTGAGCCCCACATGATCCTTTTCTTTTCTCTCCTCTGCCACCCTGGGCTGCCGATGCTCCTGGCCTTTGCATGTACTCAAAAATAAATCTATGAGTGAGGGACACCTGGGAGGCTCAGTTGGTTAAGTGTCTGCCTTCCGCTCAGGTCTTGGCTCTTTGCTCAGCAGGGAGCCTGCTTCTCTCTCTGCCTACCACTCCCCTTGCTCTTGCGCTCTCTCTCTCCCGCTCCCTCTGACAAGTGAATAAGTAAAATCTAAAAAAAAAAAAAAGAAGAAGAAGAAAGAAAGAAAGAAAGAAAGAAAGAAAGAAAGAAAGAAAGGAAGGAAGGAAGGAAGGAAGGAAGGAAGAAAGGAAGAAAAGGATCATGTATGCTCTGTGCCAGAATTCAGGTTTCGCATGCTTTGCCTAGAGAGGACAGTGCTCCTCCTGAAACACCTGGAAAAGGCAGGGCTGAATGTCCCCAGGTATTTGCAGGTAGCAAGCAGCTCACCATCTGCCCAGACCCACACCCTATGACCTTTCCCGGGACAGGCTGTGCCCCATGCCCCGATGTCTCTGCGGTGCACACGGCCTGGACAGAAAAATGGGATGGACCGGGGCTGGCAGGAGGGAGTCCACCTAGCCCTGGTTTCTGGCCTGCCTGGCCCTCCGTACAGCACCTCAGATCCTGACTGCCACTGAGGAGCAGCGAGGAGGCAGGGGACAGGGAGGAAGCTCCCACCTGCCGAGCCGGGCGCAGCATAGCTGTTAATTTAATTCATTCTGTCCCGCCACACCCCTGCAAAGAGGGGCAACAGACTCCAAAGGCTGCAGTGACTTGCCTTGAGATTCCAGATCTGAACCCAGGCCATCTGACTCTGGACCTCTGGACTCAGTCCCCGGGACCCTCAGTCGAAGCCAGGGGATGGGAGAGGCAGCTGTGCACAGGGGTCTAGCCCAACCTGGGTCATACCCAACCTGCACCCAACAGGGAGGGCTAGGATGTCTGAGGCCCTTGGGAGCTGACAGTCCTACTTGGAAGGCAATGATCTCCCTTGAATCTGTGCCCCCGTCAAGCTCGGGAATCTCCCAGGCAGGGGCCATGTCCTCCTCCAAATCTCATGGCCTGCGCCTGACACAGGGTCGTCATGGGGTGGGGGTGGGGGGGGCACTACTTAGGAGCTCTTGGGTTAATCTGATTGACCTAAACTGCCATGAGACATCCTGGTGGATGCTTCAAATAGGAAACTCACTAGTGTGGTCTATTACGTAATTAACTAACCATCTAGGAGTAACATAGAAATGCACACAAAATTCAAAGGAAAATAGCCTCCCTACCCCCTCCACTTCTCCCCCCCATCCAAATTTTGAGGGTTAGTAGTGTCCGTGGGCTCTTCCCAAACATGTATGGGAGGCACACTAGGGATTTAGAGCTATCTATAGATTTCAGAGCTAGGTAACCCAGACAGGCTTCCCCGGGGAGGAGAAGAGGGGTAATTTAAGCGGGAGCCATGAGGGAGGTGGGATTTCTGTGGTGAAAGAACAGAAGGGATTCTCCAGGCGTGAGGAACAACGCATGCAAAGTGCAGAGGGAAGAAAGAGTGTGCTTCTCTAGGGATACGATAATGGGCAGGGGTGGGGGGAGCCTCGGGGCAGCCCTCTGGAGTAAGAAGGGGCCAAGTCACAGTAAGCCTCAGTGACCTCTGACTTCTGGGGAGTGGACAGGTCATGCACCTTAGG